CACACACACACACACACACACACACACTCACTCACTCACTCACACACTCTCTCATACACACACACACACACTCTCAGACACACACACTCTCTCATATACACACACATTCACACACACACACACACTCTCACACACACACACACACACACACACACTCTCTCACACACACACACACACTCTCTCACACACACACTCTCTCACACACACACACTCACACACACACACTCTCTCACACACACACACTCACACTCTCACACACACACACTCTCTCACACACACACACACACACGCACACACTCTCTCACACACACACACACGCACACATATACACATACACGCACACGCACATGGTCATACATCATACACGGACAACATGCGTCACATACACACACAGGCACACATACACGTGCAAACATACCACACACACAGACACACACACACACGCACACTCACACTTTGACACACACACACACACTCACACGCCAACATATACACACACACGCACATCATACATCACACACGGACACACATGCATCACATACACAGACATTCACACATACCACACACAAAGACACAGCACACACACACACCCTCACACAGACAGACACGCACACATACTTTACATGAGCGGTTGTTGAATATTAACTGGGGAGCAGGAACACTGATGAGTTTTCTTCCTCCTTAAGTCCTCACTGAAATCAATCCTTTCGATCAGGACAGTGACCGAACCTTGTTGTAAAACGGGTCAAGTGGGTGATTCTCCCCTTAAACCCCTGTGTGTATTTGACCAGGAGACAATGGCAGGAAGGTCCTGTTTTATCTCACTTTGAGCTGGTTGTTTCACAGAGCTGGAGAGAGGGTTGACAGAGCCACAGATTCGCGTGATTTGCAGACAGACCCTTGAAGCCCTTCACTACCTGCACAGTAACAAGATCATACATCGGGACCTGAAGGCTGGAAATATCCTTCTGACACTGGACGGGGACATTAAGTTAGGTAAGAGAAATGGGAGGGAAAATTGACAGAGGAGGAAGGCAGAGTAAACAAGAGACAGAGAGTAATCATGATGGTAAGTCATGGTCTTTTTCCGATTCTACCTGTTCATGACTTACCAATTAAATACAAGTTGGGTTGTACATCAGAATTTGCTTGGCACAGTGACAATCTAAAAATTTGAAAGTTAGAGGGAAGACTCAACCCAAGGTTGTAGATCGGCTCTATGGGAGGGTCATTGAAGTCGGCAGCAGCTGGAACTAACGCTGGGGGTAAATGTATCGTTGTGTTAGGATTTGGCCCAAGATTACCAGGGAAGCAGGATATCACTGCACTGCTCCAAGACTTGGTCTCCTGTGGAGGGGATCGTGATACCTACAGTTCTCAGTGCTGCTCTGACAATGCGTCGTCTTCCCCCCATCACTCCCCAGCAGAGTGGCAGGCAGTTTGAGGAAGCAATTGATGGCTTCCCTGGAGACAGACAGGGTTGAGACACATGGAGGGATCATAAAGAGGGCACATCTATTGAACATCACCCAGTATACAACTTCATTTGCACCCACCGGTTCCGAACATTGTCCAAAGTCACAGTGGAATTCCAGTGTCTCTACCTTGAATATATTTAGAAACATGGAAACAGCGGTAGGCCATTCAGCCCCTCGCAACTGCTCCGCCATTCTAGAACATCTCCTACCTCACCATTACCCTGCACTATCACTCAATATCTTTAAAATCTAGAAACCTATCGATCTCAGTCCTGAACATACTTATGATGGAGCCCCCACCGCACTTTTGAGGTAGGGGATTCCAAAGGTTCCCCATCCCTCTACCACCACCACTCCCACCATGAGGGAAGAAATGCCTCCTCATTTCAATCCCAAATGGCCTGCCCTGTATTTTTGAGACCGTGTTCCCAGTTCTAAATCCCTCCCAGCCAGTGGCGGGGGGGATCGTGTCCTTTCAGCATTATCTATCTTGTAGACCCCTATCAGAATTCTGTAAGTCAATTTGATTAAATCCTTCCAATGTACTGAAACTGTGTTCTGACATGCCAGCAAATCTCCCTTTAATATGCCTGCATCGTCATATGTGTCTCTCTTCATTGCACTGCACTCTCTCGTAAGAAGCCATTATTACACTCTCTCGTAAGAAGCCATTATCTCTGCCCATGGGTACAAACCTGTTTAAACCACTGCATCCCTATAAACGTCTTGACCCAATTACTGCATCCTTTACCTTTCCTCCTGCTGAGACCCTCCGTTACGACTCAACTGTGGTCCATGTGTGGAATGAGCTTCCAGAGGCAGTGGTGGATGTGAGTACAGTTACAACATTTAAGGATAAGTACATGAATAGGAAAGGTTTGGAGGGATATGGGCCAAGCGCAGGCAGGTGGGACCAGTTTAGTTTGGGATAATGGTCAGAATGGGCCGGTTGGGCCAAAGGGTCTGTTTCCGTGCTGTGTGACTCTATGACTCTCTTGGCTTGTCTCCTACATTTTACCCTCAAGAAACTCAAGCTCGTGTAAACTGGGACTTGTACTGAGTCCAGCTCCCCCCAACACCCCTCTCTCGGCTGGTTAGCAGCCACAAAGTACATTGATAGATAACTGTGTTTAAATTCCTCCATGGCCCTTTGTAACCCATCCACTTCACCCCGTCCTACCTCTGTAATCTCCTCCAGCACCATGACCATCCAAGGTAAGTGTGTTCCTCTATTTCTGGCCTCTTCGACGTCCCCAATTTCATGGTTGGGGGGGTGGGGTCGACGTCACAGAGTTGAGAACTGCAAAGGTCATGTACCTTTCTGCAGGTTCTTCTCCTTGGCCTGTGTGGTCAAGACTGCACCAGACACATCCAACAAGCGATGGAGGAGAAATTAAGGCAAAAGCGTTTGATGTTCTGTTGCTAACAGCTTGCCAGCAAACAATATGTTGTTAATCACAGATAACATGAGGTTTTGATGCTAGTAATCAAGGCTTTGCTCGCTTCTAGCTGATTTTGGAGTGTCTGCAAAGAACGCACACACCATCCAACGGAGAGCATCATTCATCGGAACGCCTTACTGGTAGGTTATCATTCCTTTTCCAGGAAGCCTCTCCTTCCATCCTTCTGTTGCATTTTCTTTCTGTATGGCTGGAAAGAGAGAGAAAGAGAGAGAGACACGTTGCTGAAGCCTTATGCCTGTCATTCATCAGGAGAAGTGCAAAAATGCCAGCATGGTAGCAACTTATATTGCAAGAGGCTAATTGCTTGGAACACTAACTCCCAATTGTGCGTGGCATGGTCATGGAGATAGCAATAGGCTCTCTAGGCTCCTGGGGAAATAGAAAATAAGGCGAGGTTTGAAGGTATTCCTTTCGTTGGGAGAGAGTGGGCCCCCGCATAAGAATGTGCGTCTGACGATCCGCATCGCAAGCTCAACTGGTTATCTTCGATCAGTTGCGAGTGTAGCACTCGGGATTGTTCAGTAGGTGCTGCCCCGTCGCAGAATCACACCTAACAGTGGGACTGCTGCTCTGGTGTGGTCTACTTGAGGACAGTCTGTTGTAGGCTTGAAGGAAGATGCTGTTTGACTGGAGCAACCGTTTCACACTGCGGCGGCCGCATGAGTGGTATTTTCTGCTGACACGGATGCAACCGTCAGCCTCAGAGATGTTCTGACCATCACTCAATGGAACAAAGTCGTGATGAATCCAATGCCAGTTGTCATGGACCAGACCAGACCCCCTTGAAAACGTTTTAAGAAGGTAGCCTGCAGCCTAACTTTTTCTTATGTTGAAGGTAGATGTGATGTGCGTGTTCCAGATGTGATGCGACTACTCAGTGTTAAGCAAAACAATTTATTTAAACCCTACAGTTAAAATGCAAACAGAAGAAAGAGGAATTTGGAATAACGTGACCATTGGAAAACTTAACCGAATAACAGTTACAGTACCTGTTCCTAATTAACTGTTCCAATATAGTAGCATCCCATCAACACACCCTTTGGCAAAAAGGCAATTTCAGACATAGATTCTCACATGCAGTTCTCCAATCCAGGAGGAAAAAAAACATGGAGAAAAAATTCAGTGAGAATAGCAACCAGGAGACATTCACTGAAGCTTCCAACTCTTTTGAGACCCCAAAGGCTTCCGATGTTACTGAAAAAATCATAACCCAGAAATCTGGATCTGTGAGAGCTGGCCACACCCATTCCGGCTGTTAAAAAAAACACCCAAGGCCTCCCATGTTGTTGACACAAGTCGTCTTCAGTAGCCAGTTCGGTCTTACAACCGCTCTTCAATAAAAAGAACAAAATGACCTTTCAAAGTGACAGCATTGTCATACAGTGCAATGTCTGGTACATTGGCAATATGCCTCCATGATTGGCTGATCTTCTCCCTGAAAGGAACTTTTGAGGGTCTGTACTCCATGGAATTTAGAAGGATGAGCGGGGATCTAGTTGAAACTTACAGAAAACTGAACGGCCTGGACAGTTTGGACGTTGGGAAGATGTTTCCATTAGCAGGGAGACTAGGATCCGAGGGCACAGCCTTAGAGTAAAGGGAAGGCCCTTTAGAACAGAGATGAGGAGAAACCTCTTCAGCCCGAGAGTGGTGAATCTGTGGAATTCACTGCCACGGAATGATGTGGAAGCCAGGCCATTGAGTGTAGTTATGACAGAGACAGATAGGTTCTTGATTATCAAGGGGATCACAGGTTACGGGGAGAAAGTGGGAGAATGGGGTTGAGAAACTTATCAGCCATGGTTGAATGGCAGAGCAGACACGATGGGCCGAATGGCCTATTTTTGGTCCCTATGTCTGGTGGCCTTACGAAAGAAATTTGGGCTTTCCTGGGATGCCCTCTATCTTTGGTTTCCCCAGCAAATGGAAACCTCAGCTATAAATGCAGCTCGGTCATCACCTTGCAGCGGGGTGCCAGGGTTGGTGACCCAGGGTGATAGGCTTGCTCACTTTCAGTCCATTCCGGGCTGTGAGAGTATCGAACCCTGTGTAGGCTGGACGTCAGATTCGGGGAACTTACCCGCCCTTCAACCCTTCACGACCTCGCCCAGTGTGCCTTCACCCTGGCAAGAAGTCAGATTGGCACTGTAGCTCAGTGGGTGGAGAGCCTCTGCCTCGGAGCACTTGAGCATAAATATCTGCAGTAGAAAACCAGCCTGAGGACACTGCTCCTGTTGTATGTGCTGTCTTCCACACGAAACATGGTCTTGTTTGCTCTCCCAGATGGGCGTGAAGACTCCCACGATGGGTATAATAATGTAAGAGCGCCCCGTAAATGTGCCCAAATGATCCCTCAGTAGCAGATTGTTATGGGTCGAGGGCTCGTTTGAAAATGAAAAATCCACCGGCCCACCCCAAGCTGGAGAGATTCTTTCAGTTTCAATCGGTGGGGTGATACTGAGCGGGTGGCGTGGGGGGCAACGGAGTTGGGTTGGCATGGGAGGTGTGGATGAGATCAGCACGACTGTGACGACAGGGCAAAAAACAATGGTTTGACGGTCAGACAACAGCTATTCTCCACTCTGCGTATGAAGATTGACCCCGACTCAAAATGAAGAGCTGGCAGTGAAACTAGAGGACTGATCACTGGTGATTCTATTGAAGAAGAAGCTGGCAACCATCCTTATCCTCCAGAGTTTGCGCAAAGTCGAACTCCCAAGGACGCACAAGGAGGGTGCTGTTACAAACCCTAAACAAGAACTCGATTATGGAACAAGATTGATAGGTCGGAAATGTTACATTTAGTGTTGGAAGCTGAAGGCCAGGACAAACAAGGTGGTTATCTCTGGATTACTACCAGTGCCACGTGATAACGAGATAAGAAATAGGGAGAAAGTGCAGCGAAACACGTGGCTACAGGGCTGGTGTAGGAGGGAAGGCTTCCATTATGTGGATAATTGGAGCACATTCTGGGGAAGGTGGGACCTGCACAGTAAGGACGGGTTGCACCCGAACTGGAAGGGCACAAATATCCTGGGAGGGAGGTTTGCTCGAGCTATGCGGGATGGTTTAAACTAGATTGGCAGGGGGTGGGGACCCGGATTTGTAATTCAGAGGATGAGGTATTCAGCCTTCCAACAGCCACAACAGGGAGTGAGGTGGTTTATAAAGAAATGCGGTTGATGGAGCGTAATTGTGGACACAGGGATGGTTTGAGGTGAGTATACTTCAATGCTAGAAGTATCAGAAATAAGGCGGATGAACTTAGAGCATGGGTCAGTACTTGGAACTACGATGTTGTGGCCATTACAGAAATTTGAGTAACTCAGGGACAGGAATGGTTGTTGGAAGTTCTGGGATTTAGATGCTTTAAAAGAAATAGGGAGGGTGGAAAAAGAGGCGGGGGAGTGGCATTGCTAATGAGGTTTAGTATAGCAGCTACTGAAAGGCAGTTCGAGAATGATGTATCGACAGAGTCAGTTTGGGTTGAGGTCAGGAACAAGAAAGGAGCAGTCACTTTATTGGGGTTTTTTTACAGACCCCCTAATAGTTGCAGAGAAGTGGAGGAGCGGATTGGGAGGCAGATACTGGAAAGGTGCAGAAGTCACAGGGTTGTAGTCATGTGTGACTTCAACTTTCCAAATATTGATTGGAAACATTTTAGTTGTAATAGTTTAGATGGAGCGGATTTTGTCCAGCGCGTTCAGGAAGGATTCCTGGCACAGTATGTAGATAGACCAACACGAGGAGAGGTCACTTTGGATTTGGTGCTTGGCAATGAACCGGGCCAAGTGTTAGACCTGTTGGTAGGAGAGCATTTTGGCGGTAGCGATCATAACTCTGTTACTTTTACAATAGTCATGGAAAAGGATAGGTACATACAGCAGGGTAAGGTTTATAATTGGGGGGAGGGTTTTTACAATTCTGTTAGGCACGAACTGGGTAACATAAATTGGGAACAGATGCTGTGAGGGAAGAGCACTACTGAAATGTGGAGATTGTTTAAGGAGTGCATACTGCGTGTGCTCGATATGTTTGTCCCTAGCAGGCAGGGAAGATGCGGTCGAGTGAGGGAGCCTTGGTTCTCGAGAGGTTGAACGTCTGGTTAGGAGGAAGAAGGAGGCTTATGTAAGGTTTAGGAAACAAGGAACAGAAAAGTCTCTCGAGGGATACAAGTTATCCAGGAAGGAGCTGAAGAAACCGCTTAGGAGAGCTATAAGGGGGCATGAGAAAACCTTGGCAGATAGGATCAAGGAAAACTCCAAGGCTTTTTACACGTACGTGAGGAATAAGAGAATGACCAGAGAAAGGGTAGGGCTGATCAAGGACTGTAAAGGGAATTTGTGCACGGAGCCTAAAGAGATAGGAGAGGTCCTTAATGAATACGTTTCTTCGGTATTCACAACTGAGAGGGACCTAGTTGTAGAGGATGACAGTGTAAAACAGGCTGGTCGGCTAGAGGAGGTCGATGTTAGTAAGGAAGATGTGCTAGGAATTTTGAAGAACTTGAAGATAGATAAGTCCTCCGAGCCTGATGGGATTTATCCAAGGATTCTATGGGAAGCGAGGGAAGAGATCGCAGGGCCTTTGACGATGATCTTTTTGTCCATGGGTATAGTGCCGGAAGATTGGAGAGAGGCAAACGTCATTCCCTTGTTCAAGAAAGGGAATAGGGATTACCCCTGAAATTACAGGCCAGTTAGTCTTATGTCAGTGGTGGGCAAATTATTGGAAAGGGCTCTGAGAGATAGGATTTATGATCACTTGGAAAGGCACAGTTTGGTTCGTGATAGTCAGCATGGATTTGTGAGGGGTAGATCAAGCCTCACAAACCTTATTGAATTCTTTGAAGAGGTGACCAAACACGTGGATGAAGGTAGAGCAGTGGATGTGGTATACATGGATTTAAGTAAGGCGTTTGATAAGATTCCCCATGGTAGGCTCATGCAGAAGGTAAGGAGGCATGGGATAGGGGGAAATGTGGCAGATAGGATTCAGAATTGGCTGACCCTTAGAAGACACAGGGTGGTAGTGGATGGAAAATATTCAACATGGTGCTCAGTTACGAGTGGTGTACCACAAGGATCTGTTCTGGGTCCTCTACTATTTGTGATTTTTGTAAATGATTTGGATGAAGGAGTGGAAGGGTGGATTAGTAAGTTCGCGAACGATACGAAGGTGGGTCGTGTTGTGGACAGTGCGGAGGGCTGTTCTAGGTTACAAAGGGACATTGATAGGATGCAGAGCTGGGCTGAGAAGTGGCAGATGGAGTTTAACCCTGAAAAGTGGGAGGTGATTCATTTTGGAAGGACAAATTTGAAAGCAGAATACAGGGTTAATGGAAAGATCCTTGGCAGTGTGGAGGAGCAGAGGAATCTTGGGGTTCATGCCCACAGTTCCCTGAAAGCTGCCACCCAGGTGGATAGATTTGTTATGAAGGCGTATGGTGTGTTAGCTTTAATTAATAGAGGGATGGAGTTCAAGAGCCGTGAAGTTATGCTCCAGCTATACAAAAGCCTGGTTCGGCCATTGTGTCCGGTTCTGGTCGCCTCATTACAGGAAAGATGTGGAAGCATTGGAAAAGGTGCAGAGGAGATTTACCAGGATGTTGCCCGGAAGGGAGGGAAGGTCTTACAAGGAAAGGTTGAGAGAACTGGGGCTTTTCTCTCTAGAACGACGAAGGATGAGAGGTGACTTGATAGAGGTGTACAAAGTGATAAGAGGTATAGATAGAGTAGACAGCCAGAGACTTTTTCCTCGGGTGGAGGTAGCTATTACGAGGGGGCATAGTTTTAAAGTGAGTGGAGGTAGATATAGGGGAGACGTCAGAGGTAGGTTCTTTACTCAGAGCGTGGTCGGGGCGTGGAATGCATTGCCAGAGAGGGTAGTGGAGTCGGCCTCATTAGGGCCATTTAAGCGGCTATTAGATAGGCATATGGATGATAGTATAAGGTAGGGGTGGAGGTTAGATAGACCTTAGGATTAGGGTAAAAATTCGGCACGATATCATGGGCCGAAGGGCCTGTACTGTGCTGTACTGTTCTATGTTCTATGTTCTAGTGTTAGCGCTGAACGTGCAGCAGGGAGATGTCAAGGAAATAGGGAGCTACTTCCTCAATTTATACCAAGACGTGTTTCAAACCTGCCTTTTCATCTGAGCAGGAAACAGTTCCTAATCAGCCTGTCACATCACACAACTATGTGTGTACAAGGCTCAAGGCCAGAGCTTTGACAATATTTGCATTTCTATTTGCCGGCCCTTTTGTTTATACATGGACTGCTTTGCGTGTGGCATTTTCCAATTAGAGAAGGCTTGTCAAAATCTTAGGTGAGTGGGTTAATCCTACACTGTGTAACAATTGGATGAGAAAGGTCAGTTAAAATTTGCAATTTTACCGTTGCAAAGCTTGGCTTAGACGTTATGATGATGCTGTAACTTTAAGATGTACGGTTTGTCCTGGTTTCTTTTAGAGAGAGAGGGAGACAGGGGAACGAGCAGCCTATGAGAAGATAAACAACTTGTGTAGCCTTGGCGGGTATTTTTGTTTTAAAAGGCTGTAACATTAGAAGCAGTCTGAGCTGGTGTGGTCAAGCTCCCACCTGTCGAAGCAAGGATTTTTAGCTTTTCGTTTACAGCAGCAGTTGCTGTTAGGGTTTTAAAGAAATGGGAGCTTATTTTTACCCCTCCTCTCGATTACAGCCAAAAACTGGGGGCTCTCTTCCTGAGCTGCTGGATTGCATGTGAGACAAAATCTGTTTTCTGAATTTGCCTTTGATGCCACAGGGTGTGTTTGTGGGATTTTACTATATTGGAACAGTTAATGAGTAATAGCTCCTGTATCTATTATGCTGTTAAGTTTTCCAATAGTTAAGATATTCCAAATTCCTCTTTTTTTTGTATTTTAACTATAGCGTTTGAATACATTGCGTTTTGCTTAACGTCGAGTAGTTTGACCAATCAAATTGCATCTGGAACACAGCACCTCACATTTAACCTTTAAAAGAAGAAAACGTTAGGGTCTAGACTACCTCCTTATGATATTTTGAGGAGGGTCTGGTCCACAACAACATCCAAAGCATATTTTGGATGAATTTTCTGCTCTGCCTGGGGGGATTCATTTAGCCTGCTATCTATGACCTTCTGTTGCGGTAACTGAAGACTCCAAGGAGTTTGCCCAAAATTAGGCTTTGCCCTTGACTGTTGTGTAGGAATGTCAGCCGCACTTTCTCCTCTCACGTTGTCTTCTTCTTGTTTAGGATGGCCCCTGAGGTTGTCCAGTGCGAGACTTCGAAGGATGCACCTTACGACCACAAGGCGGACGTCTGGTCTCTGGGAATCACACTGATTGAGTTGGCAGAGATGGAGCCACCACACCACGAGCTGAACCCCATGCGGGTCCTCCTGAAGATCACCAAGGCCCCCCCTCCGACTCTGTCCCACCCTTCCCGATGGTACTCAGCAGCCTAATACTTCCCGTTGTGCATTCTCCGTTCCTCTGGCTTTACTTGCGCAGCGGGACTGCGGGAGGTCTGGACTAGAGTCCCGCTCCAAATCTAAAAGGGAGGCTGGGCCTGAAACGAGTACGGACAATGCTGGAGAAACTCAGCAGGTCTGGTCTTTTCTGTGGACACTTGGATGTATAGGCATCTCTCTCTCTCTCTCCCCATCTCTCTACTGATGCTGCCAGACCTACTGAATTTCTCCAGCATTGTCTGTGTGCACTTATGCATGGGGGTGTAAAAAGGGCTGAAAAACGATCATTTTGAAGTCAATTCCTCACTTTCCACATGAATCGCCAGCAAGTACAACTGGCATTTGTATGTAAATGAAATGAAAACGTTCCTGAGGCAACTCACAGGAGCGTGATTCGATTCGGAGGAACATATTAGGTCAGGCGACCGAAAGTTCGGTCTAAAAGGTTGGTTTTAAGGCGTGTCTTAAAGGAGGAAAGTCAGGTAAAGAGGCGGAGAGGCGTAGGGAGGGAATTGCAGAGCTCGGGATCAACAGCAACAGTGGAGCAGTTAGAGTCAGGGATGCTCAAGAGGCCAGAGTTCCAGGAGTCCAGAGAACTCAGAGGGTTCTGGGTTAAATTCACAGATTCATACAGTGCTGAAAAGGCCCTTCAGCCCATCGGGTCTGCGCTGACATAACTCCCACTGAAAGTGCGCCAGTCCCAATTTCTTGCACTTGTCCTGTACCCTCGAATGTTATGGTATTTGAAGTGCTCATCCAGATACTTTTTAAATGCAAGTAAGGATTCCAGACTCCAGTACCTTCCCAGGTAGTGCATTCCAGATCACCATGACCCGCTGAGTCGAAATGTTTTTTTTCCCCAAATCCCCTCTGAATCTCCTGCCCCTTACCCTAAAATGAAGCCCTCTCATGATTGAACCTCTCATGGTTGGAGGAGATTACAGAAGTAAGGAGGAGCTGAGGCCATGGAGGGCATTGAGAAAAAGGAGGAGCTTTTTAAGGTCAGTGTCCCATAGAGTGACACGGTGGCTCAGTGGTTAGCACTGCGGCCTTATAGTGCCAGGGACCTGGGTTCAGTTGCACCCTTGGGTGACTGTCTGTGTGTCTCCCTGTGTCCGTAGGGCTTTCCTCCCACAGTCCAAAGATGTGCAGGTGAAGGGTGGATTGGCCGTGCTAAATTGCGCATAGTGTCCAGGGATAGGTAGGCTAGGTGGGTTAGCCATAGGAAATACAGGGTTACAGGGACAGGGTAGGGGGGTGTGGGACACTCTTCAGAGGGTTGGTGTGGGCAGAATGGCCTCTATTTGTGCTGTCAGGATTTCTATGATTAACTGCGTCAGTGACCACAAGGCCTGATAGGGAGCAAGCAGCTGTTTTCAATGACTTCAAATTTATGTAGGGCAGATTGTACAGATAAGCAAGGCATATGTGAGGATTTTGGCTGTAGGCGAGCAAAGACTGATGAAATCGGTGGATGTTAAGGAGTTGGAAATAGGTGCTCCTTAGGATATGAGTTTGGAAGCTAAGGCAGGGGGTGTGGGGTTCCAAATGGGAGCCCAGGGCTGGCTGAATCTCAGTCTTTGCCAGGGTGAAGTAACCAAGAGACAGGGTCTGGAGCGGTCACGGGAAAGAAATGACTTCAGTTTTCCCACTGACAAGCACGCGCTTTTTGAATTCCTAGGTCACCAGATTTTAAGGATTTCTTACGAAAGGCTTTGGAAAAAAATGTCAACCTCCGATGGTGCGTAAAGCAACTTCTCCAGGTAATTATTTCAATCCCAGTTCCCTCTGGAAATTGCTGTGGGTCATAGCTTCAGGTATGAAGCCCCCAACTCCCCCACTACCCACCACAGAGTTGCTTTTGGTTACTGAGATGTTTGCGTGTGGCGCAGCCAGATGACTTGTGGTCAGGAGCGATCTCAGCACCTCGGTTCTCGGTAACGCCCTGCTGTGTCTACCCCCAGCACCCTTTCGTGGCCGCAGTGACCAGCAACAAGCCAATCCGAGAGCTGATAGCCGAAGCCAGGGCCGAGGTGATGGAGGAGATCGAGGAAGGCAAGGATGATGATGATGACAACGACGATGACGATACGGAGGTACTATTGCTAACTGGCCGTTGTTAAGTGGACTGTGACGCGAGAAACAGGAGCGGGAATGGTCTCTTCAGCCCATCCAGTCTGCTCCACCATTCGGTACCGTCTTCAGCTCCAAATCCACCTTCCTGCCCATTCCCTGTGTCCTTCGATTCCCCGGGAGACCGACATTCTGTCCGGCCCGGCTTTAAAACACACTCAGGAATGGAGTCTCCGCAATCCTCCACCCTCCGGCTGAAGAAATTCCTCTTCATCGCAGTCCACAAAGCCATAAGAAATAGTAACAGGAGCAGGCCATTCGACCCCACAACCCTGCTCTGCCATTCAGTAAAAATCATGGTTGATCCGACATTCCTCCAGTCCCCTTTATCCGCGTAACCCGTGATTCCCCGACTGATCAAGAATCACTCAATCTCAGCCTTAAATATACACAAGGGCTCTGCCCCCAACAGCTCTCTGTGGCAAGGAGTTCCAAAGACTCACAACCCCCCCGAAAGAAGAAATTCCTCCCCATCTCAGTCTTCAGTTGGTGCCCCCTTCATTCTGAGGCTATGCCCTCTGGTCCTAGACTCTCCCATGAGGGGGAGCACCCTCTCAGCATTGACCCTGTCAATATGTTTCAATGGGATCGCCTCTCATTCTTCTAAACTCCACTGTGTTAGAGTCCTGACCTGTTTAGCCTTTGACAATCCCTCCATATCAGAGATCATCGTAGTGAAGCTTTCCTGAACTGCCTCCAATGAAATGATATCGTTTCTTAAATAAGGGACCGAAACCTCTCTCAGTTCTCCAGATGCGGTCTCCCCAGCACCTTGTCCAGTTGCAGTAAGACTTCGCTACTCTTATACTCCAACCCCCTTCAAATAAGGGCCAACATTCTACTAGCCCTTCTTGATTCCCTGCTGTACCTGTGTGCTAGCTTTCTGTATTTTATGCACAAGCCCCCCCCAATCCATCAAGTCCCTTTGTGTTGGAGCGTTCTGCAGTTTCTTTCTCCCTAAACGATCAGCCTCTTAACCTGAGACTTATCCAGCTCTCTCTCCCTTTCTTCTTCCCTCTCTCTTTCTCTTTCTCTGTCTCTCTCTCTTGCTCTTATAGGGAGAGAGGTTGAAGTAGCCACTGTAAGTTCCACACTGAGACCAAAACTGTGACATGCAACTCAATACACAAGGGCAAGGCAGTTTCCAACCACCCTTCTGATAATAGAGAGACAGTAGGAACTGCTGATGCTGGAGAATCTGAGATAACAAGGTGTAGAGCTGGATGAACACAGCAGGCCAAGCGGCATCAGAGGTGGAGGAAAGCTGACGTTTTCTGAAGAAGGGTCTAGGCCTGAAACGTCAGCTTTCCTGCTCCTATGATGCTGCTTGGCATGCTGTGTTCATCCAGCTCTACACCTTGTTATCTTTTAACAATAGATATGCATTTGCATGAGTTCTGTCTTCAAAAAATGAAGCACGAAAGTGTTGGATCCCAATATCATTGGAGCAAAATGAGGTTTGAATGCACATTAAAGTCTTTTGCTTTCTGAGGTACTTTCAGCTGCTTCGGTGCCATTTTGTCAAGAGGTGTACTTTTTCATCTTCTCCTCACAGGCTCTGGCATCCCAACCGGGCTCTGACAGTACAATCAGCACAGAGGAACGGGCTCCAATGGGCCCCACCAAGACGTGTCTGGAGGAAGAGCCAATAAGCAAACAGCCTGTTGACCAAGGCCGAGCTGGGAGCCCCACCTTGGGCAGCGCAGCTGGCGGATCAGCGGAATATTCGAACGATCACGGGGCGTTAGGGGGGGCCGCAGAAAGTGAGGACCCGACGGTGCTCGGCGAGGGTGAGATGGGAATCGCTGGGGAGCTCCCGTTAGAGACCTCAGTCGTAAGATCTGATCCCGCAGGCTGCGCTAATCGAGGCGGTGAGCTTCCAGCGAGCCCGCGGGGAGAAATGGGGGCGGGCGTGAAGGATCGCAGTGCTCACTCAAGCGAGGTGGAGAAGAGGTGTGCCAACCCAAGCAACACCAGTGAAAGGTCTGAACCCGCAGCGGGCAAAGCCGATCTGGAAGAGCCCGGGCACACAGCAGCTGAAGACTCCACCGATGCCGCACCCAACCTGGGACTGGACGAAGACGAGCCGACACTGAGCAATGAGAACTCAAAGGCAGATCCTACTGGCCCATCACCTTCAGGAGGAGAGGGTCCAGCAGAGGCAGAGACTCCTGCAGCAATATTTGGGAAGGCAGGAAGTGAGTCTCATGGCCCTTTGATAGGAAGCACAGAATCGGATTCTCCAGTAGCAGATATCCGCTCAGAGTGGAGCCCTTCAGGTCTGGAGCCTGTTGGAGCGCTTGAAGATATTAGCAATGGGCCAACACCAGGAGAGATCTCCTCTTGTCCCCTTGGGAAAGCTGAAACCGTAGAGACGGATCAAGGCAGTTCGCAGGTGGAAGGGGAAGCTCTCTCGGTCGGGAAAGGAGCAGCGAATTCCCAAGGTTGCCAGGCCAGCGGGCAGGATCCGGAGGAAGAAACATTGGTCGCTCGCACACAGCCGCCAAGCGAGAATGGTACGCACCAAGAGGATGCTGCAGTGCTGCCGGAGAAGGTTGGAAGGGTTGACGGGGAAAGTACTGAGTTATTGCCTTGCGTAGGCGCGGAACCCGCAGCTGATGTGCCGGAAGAGACTATAGTGGGAGGGTTGGACTCAGAGGAAGCAAGTGACGGCCTGCCGAATTCTGTCCCAGCGATCGAAACTACCGGGGCACCGCCCTCGGCTCTCACGCTGAGTCGTGACAGCGGGCACTCAAATGAATCTCTTCGGTTCGGAGAGGCAGTAAATCACGTGGCGATGGAGATGGAGAAGGCAGAGGCTGCGGGGAGAAATGGGGACAGCATCACGGCAGAAGGACCCAATTGTTTCGAGTGCGAAGAATGGACGGAGCCTCAAACTGAAGGCCAGACGCGAGCCGACGGTGAGGAAAGCGCAGAGTGGGGGCGCAGTGGCCTAACCGAAGCCGAGGAAGATTCGCCGGGCCGCAGCGGCGACGTCGCCGTGGTAACCTGCGTTGTCGATGAGCTAATCGACCAGGTGGTAGCTGGTGAACACACGGAAGAGGAAGGAGCCACACCCCAGCTCCTGAAAGACACAGGTCCCCTCAGCTGCGCCGACTTTGTGGAAGAGGTGGACAGTCCCGACGAGGGGACCAAAGGTTCGGCTGAGGGAGGCGAGCGTGTAGGCCATGAGGAGGTATCAGCTGATAGCCAGAGAGAACAGCAGGAGGACGAGCCAAGAGACGAGGCTAAGGTCAACGATGCCTCGCATGGTGAAGATACTCCGCACCACCAGGCCCCGCTGACACAGGTAGGGGTTCCAAATCAGCGGAAAAGGGCGAGACTTGACTTCGAAACTAAAGTGATTCGCATTTGTGTAGCACCCATCAGGTTGCCTTGCACCGGCGCGAAACAGCTTTCAGCTGTAAGTTACAGTCAGTCTGTAGTAGGCCAGGTTACGCTCAGGCAGATTCCACAAACATTAATGGGGTGATTTTTTTTTGTTTTTAATTCACTCACGGGTGTAAACTGGCTGGCCGGCATTTATTGCCCACCCCTCTGAACTGCAGAGCTTGCTGGGTCACTTCAGAGGGCAGTTGAGAGTCAACCATATTGCTGCAAGGTCTAGAGTCGCACGTAGGCCAGATCAGGTAAGGGTGGCAGATTTCCTTCCCTGAAGGACCTGGGTGAACCAGGTGGGTTTTTCCTGACAATGGTCATCATAGTACCATCATAACCTCCCCTGTTCCTGTGATGTTGATTCAGGATATTGGTCAAATATTGGTCAGGGCACTGGGAGAGAACTCCTCTTCGAAGCAATGATATTGGAGTCTTTTACATCCATTAGAGTGGATAGCTGTATCCACAAGACAGCACCTCTGGCAGTGCGGCACTCCCTCAGCACTGCACTGGGAGAGTCAGCCATGATTTTGTGCTCAGGCCCTGGGATTGGGGCATGGAGCGACAAGGAATTGTGAGTGCTTCCAACCGAGCCTTCCCGCACATGAGATGTTAAACAGAGGCCCCACCCGCCCCAAGAATCCCTACAGTGCAGCCCATCAAGTGCACACTGACCCTCCAAAGAGCATTGCACCCAGACTAACCCCATCCACGCATTTACCATGGCTAACCCCCCTAGCCTGCACGTCCCTTGACACTATGGGGCAATATCAACATGGCCAATCCACCCTGACCTGCACATCTTTGGACTGTGGGAGGAAACCCACACAGACACAGGGAGGATGTGTAGACACCACACAGCCAGTCTGGAACCAGTGCCAGGTCCCTGGCGCTGTGAGGTGGCAGTGCTAACCACTGAGCCATCAGACCAATTTTTGGGTGCAGCAAAATGGAATTTGGATACAAAAGTGGTTGTAAAAGATCCTTATGCCCCTAGAGCTTTCCCCAGGCAACGTCTGTCCCTCCCTAAACGCAGAGCACCCAGTCACAGTCACGTTTCTGTTTGTGGGAGCTTGCTGTGCATAAATTGGCTGTCACACGTCCTATCTTGCAACAGTGACCACACGTCATTTAAAAAAAAAGTATGCCAGCACGTTTTGAGACATTTGCTAGTCGTGAGTGTACAGCTTAATACAAGCCCCCTACCTTCCTTCCATCTTCCTCCCACCACTCTCTGCCTAGTACAACAAGAAGTGACCGTGATCAGTTACAGAGTCAGAGAGTCATACGGCATGGAAACAGACTCTTTGGTCCAACCAGTCCATGGCGAACATACTCCGAAACTAAACTAGTCCCACCTGCCTGCATTTGGTCCATATCCCTCCAAATATTTCTTATTCGTGTACTTATCTAAATGCCTTTTAAACATTGTAACTGTACCCACGTCCATCACTTCCTCTGGCAGTTCATTCCACACATGTCTCTGTGTAAAAAACAAATTACCCCTCGTGTCTTTTTTAAATCTTTCTTCTCTCACTTAAAAAATATACCCCCTAGTTTTGAAGTCCCCTACCCTCGGGAAAAGACACCTGCCATTCACCTTCTCTATGCCCCTCATGATTTTATAAACCTCTGTAAGGTCACACCTCAACCTCTAGTGAAAAAAGTCCCAGCCTCTCCTTATAACTCAACCCTCCATTCCTGGCAATTTCCTGGTAAATCTCTTCTGAACCCTCTCCAGTTTAATAATATCCTTCCTATAACAGGGCGACCAGAACTGGACACAGTGCTCCAGAAGAGGCCTCACCAACATCCTGTACAACCTCAATATGACGTCCTCAACTCCTATACTCAAAGGTCTGAGCAATGAAGGCAAGCGTGCTAAACACCTTCTTAACCACCCTGTCTACATGTGACACAAACTTCAAAGAATTATGTACCTAAACCCCAAGTTCTCTGTGTTCTACAACATTACCCAGGGCCCTACAATTAATTGTATAAGTCCTGCCCTTGTTTGTTTTACCAAAGTGCAAAATCTCACCTTTATCCAAATTAAACTTCATCTGCCACTCCCCGCTCAGCCCACTGATCCAATTGATCAAGATCTGTTTGTAATGTTCACGAACCTTCTTCACTGTCACTATTCCACCAATTTCGGTGTCATCCACAAACGTACAAACCACGCCTTCTACATTCCCATCTCAATCCTTTGTACAAATGACAAACAAAACTGGGAACTCAAGTTGCAGAAGCCAGTATTTCCTCAACCCAGGGCCTGAGGGGTTGGCTTTCGGCCTTGGGGGGAACCGAGGCACAAATTTGCGAACATAATAAAAAGAATTCTGTGCTTTTCATCCATTTTTTTAAGAAGAAGTTTCTTGAGCCAGCCATTTCCAAGGAAACAGGAAGATTGGAGACAAATGGCCTATCTGTCCTGAAACGAGAAGCATATTGTCCATCGGCTGTTATCCATACTTGTGTCGAGCTATCGCAAGGGGGGGAGACCGGGGAAAGGAGACCTTCCTATCCATTTATGGCTGACGATATCGAATCTGATGACTTCCCCCCTTGCCCTGGTGGTGTGTTTTCCAAACAGGTGACTCAATCTGACAACGTTTTCTGCTCTTGCCGTTAATTTTTACATTTCGCCATTTCCCTAACCCCAGCAACTTTAGCGACCGTCTCAGTGGCTGACTGTTTGTCCTTTCTCTCCTTTTCCAGACGCAGGGTGACCCATTTGACGACGACGTGAGTATTTTTCTCCATGAGCTGTTCAATGCTTCCTTCTCCGCAGTTGCCTGCGGAGAGACGACAGATTTGATTGTTAAAGAAGGGGCAGCAAATTATATCTTCAAGTGCAGAAATGAACAAAAGCGACGTGCAAACTCTCAACGCTCAATTCCCAACAGATTATTCAGTCAACAGGTTATAGTCTCAACCGATTTATTTAAAATCACAAGCTTTTGGAGCGCTGCTCCTTCGTAAGGTGAAATGGAGGGAGGCACGCAGGCGCAGAATATACAGGCAGAGAGATCATTGCAAGATAATTGCAGGTAGCTCAGAACATCAACAGATAGTGTGATGAGTAGAATGTCGACAGGCTGAGTAACAAGTGTTTGCAGCTAACCAAGAGTTCAGCACATTAATACAAACAGTGTGAGTAAAGTGCTAACAGGTAACCAGTGAAGGGTGAACCAGTGAACCTATTAATCAGCTAATTAAGGCAGAGAAATAATCACAAGTAATCAGCAATAAGGTACGCTAGAGACAAATCATTTGGCTGGAATAACATGATAGGTATCAGAGTCGCATGACGAGAGTCGAACCAAAATAACATGTAATCCAAAACAGTACAAACTAATTCAGGCAGAGAGATAATCATAAGTAGTCAAGGTGATGGTATCAAAACAGGATAGTTAGGAAGATTTTACCAAGACAGAACACAATGGTGGTAATTCTTTTTCTAATCTTCCATGGGATGTGGTTGTCAATGCCAAGGTTAGCATTTATTGCCCATCCCTAATCTCCCTTGAACTGAGTGGCTTACTAAGCCATTTCAGAGGGCAGTTAAGAGTCAAGCATGGGTCTGGAGTCACGTGTATGCCAGACCAGATAAGACATCACTCCATAAAGGATATGAGTGAACCCGATAGGCACTAATGAGATTCAATGATGGTTTTTTTTGGTCATGGTTACCTTTCGATTCCAGAGCGTGTTAGCGAATGGGTGGCACGGTGGCTCAGTGTGTAGCACTGCTGCCTCACAGGGACCCGGGTTCGATTCCACCCTCAGTCTGTGCGGAGTTTGCATGTTCTCCCCTGTGTCTGCGTGGTTTCCTCCGGATGCTCCACTTTCCTCCCACAGTCCAAGGACGTGCAGGTTAGGGTGGATTGGCCGTGCTAAATTGTCCCATAGTGCCCAGCGATGTGCAGGTTAGGGTGGGTTGGCCGTGCTAAGTTACCCATAGTGCCCAGCGATGTGCAGGTTAGGGTGGGTTGGCTGTGCTAAATTACCCATAGTGTCCAGGGATGTGTAGGTTAGGGTGGATTGGCTGTGCTAAATTACCCATAGTGCCCAGGGATGTGTAGGTTAGGGTGGATTGGCCATGCTAAATTACCCATAGTGCCCAGGGATGTGCAGGTTAGGGTGGATTGGCCATGCTAAATTACCCATAGTGCCCAGGGATGTGCAGGCTAGTTGGGGCATAGGTTTTGGGTACGGTGACGAGGTCTGGGTGCACTACTCTTTGAAAGATTGGTGTGGGCTGAATGGCCTGCTTCCACACTGCAGGGATTCAATTAATAGAATTGATTAACTAATTGAACATGGTAGCATTCAAACCCATGTCTCTCCAGTAAATGACCCTGATTTACTAGACCAGTGACATGATGACTCTCCCAACATCACAGCGATTTGTATAAAGTACAATGGGATTGCATTAGCCACAGGGGACGGTGCTAGGACAAGGGAGGGGAACCAGCGGCAATAAGATTCCTGTGAACTCTCTTTCTGCTGATCTGGAGAGTTACTGGTGGGCACAGTCGCGACCAGGCAAGTGAGCATTGCAGGGCGCCCATGAAAGTACTCCCCTCTCTGCCCTGCAGGATCGCCCCACCCTGCGGAAAACGTTAAAGAAAACCCGGAAATTTGTGGTGGATGGCGTGGAGGTCAGCGTCACCACCTCGAAGGTGGTCAGCGAGGACAACAAGAAGGACCAAGACATGCGGTCAGCCAGGTGAGGAGACCTCAGCATGGTGACCAAGGCAGCCCCAAACACCACGTCTCCTCCCCCTCTACTGCCCAGGGGCTTGGAATGGCAAGACCCACTCCAGAGTTGCCGCTGGGAAGTGGGTTTGTTCATTGAGGGGCTGAATGGCTTTCCCCTGTCCCCTTATGCCGCTTCTGTGTAAACTTCATGACATAGAACTGTTGACCGTGGAGTCTACGTTGACCTGTGGATGAGGAAAGCCAATTTCTGAAGCCGGGGAGCCCTCTTTTTCTGCTCTCCTCCCAACTTAAACAAACCTAGGAGCAGAAGGAGGCCATTCAGCCCCTCATGACGATTCCACCATTCAACGAGATCATGGCGGGTCTGAGGTCTCTAACTCCAGATACCTGCCTTTGGCCCATATCCCTTTGCTCAATAAAATCCCCAATTTAAATGAACAACTGACACAGCATCTGCTGCCGTTTGTGGAAGAGAATTCCAAACCTCGACCGCCCTTTGTATATCGAAGTGCTTCCTAATATCTTTCCTGAACATTTCAGCCCTAATTCTCAGACTCAGAATCTCCAACCAGTGGAAATGGTTTACGTTTATTGGGGAAATGGTTTATGTTTATTGGCCCTGTCTTTTCCTCGACCTGGGGCTTGTTCGAAGGCAGTAACTCCTGTGACTTCACCCCCATATGTTATCCCCAGCCTTTCCCACTGGCAGGTCAGGCAGTGTGTGGCGTACAGTGGCTCAGTGGTTAGCATAGCTGCCTCACAATGCCAGGGACCCAAGTTCGATTCCACCCTCGGGTGAATATCTGTGTGTGGAGTTTGCACATTCTTCCCGTGTCTGTGTGGGTTTCCTCCGGGTCCTCCAGTTTCCTCCCACACTCCAAAGATATGCAGGTTAGGGTGGATTGGCTGTGTTAAATTGTCCCATAGTGTCCAGGGGTGTGCAGGTTAGGGTGGATTGGCCGTGCTAAATTGTCCCTTAGTGCCCAGGGATGTGCAGGTTAGGGTCTGTTGGCCATGGGGAATGCAGGGATGGGCTGGGTGGGGTGCTGTTCAGAGGGTGGGTGTGGGTTCGATGGGCCGAATGGCCTGCCTCCATGCTGTACATATTCAGTGATTGTGACCCTGGCTGGTGACAGGCGCCAGGAGCTGCGGGAACTCCGGCTCCTGCAGAGAGAGGAGCAGCGTCTGCAAAGCCAACTCGACCAGAAACTGCAGCAACAACGGGAACAGATGATCCGCCAAATCGAGCAGGAGATGATGGTGAGCTAGATGGACGCGGTGTTAGGGCTGTTTGCTGAGCTTGGCCTGCTTTAACTCACTTTATGTGAGGCTCGAGCCTCATCGCTCTGACCGATGCTGTCAGCTTCACCTCCAGAGCCTCACAATCTTCAAACTGAGATGGATATTGTCCAATTGGCCATTCCCGCTTTACCTCAACACCTCGCTTACCATTCTTCACAGGCTTTAAGTCAGTGTTTCGAGGGAGCTTAACTCTGTATCTAATCCCGTGCTGTCCC